TAGAGAGAAAGAGAGGTCTTTGGATAAACACAAAAAGAGAGAGAGAGATGTGTTAGGATAAACATGGGAGTAGATAGATGATTAGTAGTGAGAGGTTATTGGGAGGAGAGAGAGAGGTGTTTGGATAAACACAAGAAGAGAGAGATGTGTTTGGATCAGTGGTTTTAAAAACGTATCGATGCCCCAGATCGGGCACCCCAAAACCCCATCTGGATCGGTGAATCGGCGATTCAGATCAGGAATTGGCCGAATTGATCGGATTAAGCCTTAAAAAAAAATCCAAAAAAATTATTAAAATTCATTATAAATGTTGTTTTTTAGGAGTCTAATAAGAGATTGGGGTACTACATTATTAACTTTCATTTCTTTCATCAATTTGTAAATATTGAGATGTTCTTTCCCTGTATGAACTTCTGTTAATCATTAAATTTACATCACATAAAAGAAAAATCATAGAATTATCATGGATAAAGAATATCATCATACATGGACTATAATAAAGAATAGATTAAATCGATGAAAAAAATGGCCACTAAAATCTCGAATTGGTTGAAACCCTAATCGGCTAAAAAACACCCAAATTATTACAACCTAACTAACTATAATCCAAAATTATTACAACCTAACTAACTATAATATTGTATACTGAAATTAAAATTGGTGGTTTACATTTTACAATTATTTTATTATACAAATAATAACAAATCCCAAATAGTTTATAATATCATCTAATTTAAAATGTATTATTGACAATTGTAAGAAAAATAGTACATTATATGATTTATAATGCAAATACATCAATATATAAAATAAAATATTTGGTCATCAATGTAGAAATTATTAGAATGCGTATCAATTTTCAAAATAACACTTTAATTTTTTAGGTTTCTAGAATAAATTTAGTGGAAAAGATTGTTAGTAGAGAGAGAGAGAGAGAGAGAGAGAGAGAGAGAGAGAGAGAGAGAGATAGAGAGAGAGAGTATTTACAAATGGCCTCATTGTATCGAACCCTATCTTTAAATTAATATTACCTAAATTTATGTTAAAGAGCACTATGTTATAAAAAAAAAATATATAATTAGATCATTTACTCCTAGGTTGTATTAAGAAATACCTTTTTTTTTTTTTACAAGAAATACTTGTTGTATTACCGTTTTTTTTTTTTTTTTTTGACAAGAAAAATATGATACTTGTTATATTACCTTTTTTTTTTTTTAACAAGAAAAATAAGAAGATGTTGTATTACCTTTTTTTTTTTTCTTGTTGTATTACTTTTTATTTATTTTTGACAAGAAAATTAAGAAAATGATGCTGCCAAGGTACCTTTTATTTTTTTATACCTTTTATTTTATTTTTTTGACAAAAAATACTTGTTATATTACCTTTTTTTTTTGACAAGAAAAATAAGAAGATGTTGTATTACCTTTTTTGTTTTTTTGACAAGAAATGCTTGTCGTATTATTATTATTATTATTATTATTATTTTGACAATATTATTTTCTTCTTTTTATTTTTTTTGAAAACAAAGTATTATCTTTTACTTTTATTTTTTTTGACAACATTATTTTCTTCTATTTATTTATATTTTTTGTTTAACATTATTTTCTTCTTTTTATTTTTTTTGAAAACAAAGTATTATCTTTTGCTTTTATTTTTTTTAACAACATTATTTTCTGCTTTTTATTTATATTTTTTGTTTAACATTACTTTCTTCTTTTTATTTTTTTTTGAAAACAAAAATAGAACTTGAGATGTCCAAGACAAAATCGTAAGTGATAACCAATTGCACAATGTCACCCGAGTGTTTTGCTTTCCATAATAATGGTATATATTGAATTACTGTCTCAATGTTTTATTTCCGTGTTCGAATCCCACATCAAAGACGTAAAAGAAGTTTGAGGGGAATAAATATCTCCTCAATACCTTACTCGTTAGCGTGTTCAGAAAAGTGGGCAGCACGATGTAGCATGAGGTATACGTGGCATTCCTTGTAAAATGATGGCGATTTATAGCCGATTTGTGATGTCATACTCCGATTCTCCTCTAGTGAGAACCGGGCGAGTATCTCACCGAGTTTTAAATCACTGGTTTGGATAAACACAGGGTGATCGATTCCCATATCGAACCAGGCGAGAATCACTGGTTTGGATAACACAGGGTGACCGATTCCCATATCGAACCAGGCGAGTATCATTGGTTTGGATAAACACAGGGTGACTGATTCCCGTATCGAACAAGGCGAGTCTCTCGCCGAGTTTTAAATCACTAGTTTGGATAACACGAGGTGATTGATTCTTATATCGAATCAGACGAGTCTCTCGTCGAGTTTTAAATCGCTGGTTTGGATAAACACGAGGTGACCAATTCCCGTGTCGAACTGGGCGAGTTTCTCGTCGAGTTTTAAATCCCTGGTTTGGAAAAACACGGGGTGACCGATTCCTATGTCGAACTAGGAGAGTCTCTCACCGAGTTTTAAATCACTGGTTTGGATAAACTGGATAAACATGGGATGACCGATTCCCGAAGGAGAGAGAGTGAAATACATGATAAGAGAAAGAAATAGAGAGGTTTGGGGTATATAAATGAAGAGAAAGAAGGGATTTAGTTTAAAAAGAGCATGTCTGTTTAGGTTAAAAAATAGGTTTAAAGTGGCCAGGGGGTTGAAAGATATTTTTTGAAACCTTAGGTTTATTAAGAAATAAAATCTAAAAATAAAGGATGGGGAGATATAAATAATGGTAACTCATATAAACATAAATTTATTTATTTATTTTTATTTTTCATTAAATGTAATTATAAATTTATATTTTGAGCCATAATGCAAACCGGTTTTGGGGATTTTGAAAATCATGTTTTGAAGATCATGTTTTAAAAATTAATAATTTTTTTAAGTAAATGTGGGGCTTTTGGTGCATATAGTTTATTGATGCAAATGGTGTGTGTTTCAATATTTTTTTTATTTTTTTAAATTTCTAAAATTTTATTTCATCATTTTTCATTTGTTAGTAAAAAATTGTTTTTTAAAGATTTTTTAATGTCATAAAATAAACATTTATTAGGGGTTTTAAATTTATTTTTAATATTATGATATGGAAGTGTTTTCCAATTTTTTTGAATCATGTTTGATGAACTATTTTAATATTATAATTTATAATTATAAATTAATAACAAATCTTGCATGTTATTTATTAATTTATTTATATTTAAATGACATAATATATTATTTTTTGTTATAGTTGTAAATAAAATATTTTTAAAATTAGATCTTATTATAAGATAAAGTTTAAATTTATTCTTCTCTGTATAGTAAAATAATTATAAAATATAAAGTAATAATTTAGATTTTACTATACAATATTATGCTTGGTTAGGTTGTGAGAGATTTGGATGAGTATATAGAGTTTATAAATGTTTGATGTGATACTAATTTTATTTTATAAGAGGTATTATTATTTTTTATTTTATAATGTAAAGGGATTTCAAGTTTTGGAAATAGTGTATTTTGTAACGTATTTTTTGGATCGTTAATTTTCAAGATTTTCAATATTTCATAGATCTATCGATCTACACTATTTTTGAAGTTTTAAACTTTAAAATAAATATTAAAATATATTTTATGGGTGTCACCAATTTCTAGTATTGAAACCGCATTTCTCAATACTATTTGAAGGTAGGCTCTAATTTGATTGTTTAGAGCCTAGGTACTATACAAACTGCACCCGTATGCCAAAATTGACCGATTTTCAGATCCCAATCATCGTTCCACCGTTCCAACATGGCCGATTTTGGTCACCATTCCGGTATTTTTAACTTTCCTTATAATTATAGGAAAAGGGACATAGCTTTCCTCCAACAAAAAAAGCAAAAATAAAAAAATAAATCACGGGCATTGGATAAATTAGAAATAACAAAGGAATGTATGATTACATATGGCGTGTCCTTATAAGAAATAAACACTTAAAAAAAAAAGAGTTCAATAAGAAATAAGAATAGAATATGAGCAAGGTGTCCTTTTAGGTTTTAAAAAATTTCACCCGTATGAGCGAGGTTTTCTTGCTTATCTCTTATATAAAACAGCGGCATTTAGGCGATATGTTTTTGTCAAAGTTACAAAGTAGAAAACAAAAAAATTCCAAAAGAGCAAAAAAAGAAGATAAAAAATAGGTTGTCGCCACTAGGGTTTGGACTGAAAAGGAAGACTGGCCGCTTATTGCGGCATCACTCGCTCATGTACGCGCTCCTCTTTTCTCTCTCATACCCAATCTTTCTCTCTCTCCCCTCTCATTACTCCCACTACTTTCTCTCTCTTAGAGCTCCCATTAGCTACTTTCTCTCTCTAGGACTCTTCCAACTCCCTTGTCCTTCGGTAACTGATGCAACTGGTCACCTCATTTCCCTCCCCAATACGCACCTTCGACGAACTTCCTTCTCTCTAAACCACCCCATTTTCTCTCTCTAAACCGCACCATTTTCTCTCTCTGTAGTTTTCCCAATGTGGGCGCCATTACTGGGTGATTATTGAGCATCGAGTAAGGTTCTCAGTAGTGGACTAGAGAGAGAGAGCGGAGTTCCGGTTTGCTCTGAAAGAAGAGAGATGTGGGTTTTGCAGAAGGGTGGTTTTCTCAGAGATACAGAGTGTGGAAAAGGTATTTGGTGTTTCAGTTAGGCAGTTTCAGAGAGAGAGAGGTGGATTTGGCTTGAGGCGGAAAAGAGATAAGAGTAGTTTCAGAGAAATGGATTTGTAGTGGAGGTCTGGGAAGAGCCATTTAGAGAGAGAGAGAGAGAGAGAGAGAGAGAGAGAGAGAGAGAGAGAGAGAGAGAGAGAGAGAGTAGTAGTAGTAGTAGTAGTAGAAGAGAACGAACGAACGAACGAACGAACGAACGAAGAACGAACGTAACGTAACGTTACGTTACGTTTACGTTTACG